GGCAGCACCATCGTCGGGCCAGCCAGCACTGGCACCATGTGCGCCTGGCCCTGGAGCCTGCTGGCTGCCCCTGTCTCCTAATCTTGAGTCCTGCTCCTCCCTGGTGACCGCTACCTCCTCCAAGAGCCTCTCCCCTCCAAGCCATCAGCCACCCCTCTGCCTACATAGTATGGAAATCCCAGGTAAGATGCCCCCTCTCCGCCTAGGCTTGCCATGTATCCGGTATTTTCGATTCCTGTCTGATAAAAAATCAGAAAATACTGGACACCTGGCAAACCTACAAACACTCAGCCTGCTGACCCAGCCCCTGGCCTCTTCCCCAAGCCCCCGACAGCCTCAGCCCCATGGACCCTTTGAAGTCTGTTCCTAGTATATTTTTCTTGTTCATGTTTGTAGTAGAAGTAGAACCAAACAAGGATCCAGCACACAGAGAGAGAGAGAGAATATTAACTATTCTACTCTCTTCAAAGAACCACACATGCTGTTTCATAGATATTTCTTTAAAGAATTAAACTTCGTTGATCTGGGTAAACTTTTGTGTTTGATGTCTCTAAGGCAAGCTTCATTCCATATATAGTTGTATTGGGCACATACAGCAAAAAATCTAGAGCCGGCCCCGATGGTAGGCATAACTATGCTAGCTTTAATCTAGCTAACAGGGGCAACAAAGTAGAGAAAGCAGCATAGGCTGGTCATCTGGGTACTTACTCTTGGGTTTGTACATGTGTTGCTAACCCAAGTTAACGCTTGTGCTGCCACATCTATACTACTTCTGTTATCCATGCTAGATAGATTTAACTGAGCCTGGTATGACTCTCTGTGCTGTACTCACATTTTCACAGCAATATTTACATGCTCTAAAACAATACTGACTCTGGTGTCACATTAGCTCAGTAACCCCAAGTTATCTCATCATCTGCAGAGGAAATCAGTGTCATCTAATGATTTCTGCTTTGCTTTTGAAAGAGTATTATAGATACACTCTGGGAGCGACAAAAGAAAAAATGGACAGATTGGCTGAGAAACAAATGAACCAAAAGAAGGAATGGGCTACTGAGGTATTTTTTCTGCTTTTATACTGAGTGCTAATCAGGTCTTGATTACAAATACTCATTCTCTTATTGATTTTAAACCAGATTTAAAAAAAAAAGGCTGATTTGGGCCTTCTTTAGTGGAATGACAGGATATTTTGTGGGTAGGAACACAATAAAATGAACTGTAAAATATTTTATTGACCAATATTGGAGTGCTGTTTATTTATATAAATATAATATACTGTGATAAAAATAACACTTAGCTGCTATATAGTGCTATTCATCAGTAGAGCTAAAAGTGCTTTTGCATAGGTCCGTACCATCATCTCTATTTTACAGTGGGGGAAACTGAGGCAGTGAAAGCTCATTCAAGAACTTTACATTTTTACTGTGAATTTAATTTTGAAAAATAAGAATTCATGTAAGATTGCGGGCTTTACAATAAAATGTTGTCTCTGTAACAAAAATACCCAGAGTGGCATGTTTTACATTTATACACAAATGTTAATATTCAGATGTTGATATATCTTTCAATTTTAAAAAGTCAAACAATAAATGTTAACATGAACATACAAAAAATGATTTTCAACAAATAGCTTTTTACATTTCAGAAAATGATGAAAAAGTATTTTCCCAAGGCTATCTTTGCAGAAACAAAACCAGCAATGATCAAAGCCTTGTTCCTGCAAACACTTACATGTGTTCTTAGTTTCAAACATGTGAATAGTCCCACTGAAGTTAAACATGTGCGTAAATGTTTGCACGTTTGAAGCTGTAGTACAGTGAAACCTTTGTTATCTGGAACTCTGTTATCCAGAAAACTTTGTTAACTGGCATTGCCCCCAACCACAATTCTGTCACATCTTCAGGTGCACAGGCCTGGCTTTACCATGATTTGCTTAAAAATTTTTATTTAAGAAGTACTAATCATCTTTAACTCAAAATAGAAATGTGAGACCAACTGCCTCACACTACAAAACTACCAATATTAAAAACTTGAGTTTTACTATTATTGTCCATTGGTTTTTCCTAGGTTGATGGGACCCTCAGATAACCAGAATTTTTAGATTACCGGTACGCCCTAATCCCTGAGCATGCCAGATAACACAGGTTTTACTGTATGTGATTTTCTTGAGATTTTATATTATATTGTTTTCTCACTCAAGAATTAAGATTGATCCAATAATGGACCAAAATGGTCAGAAAGTTAGAAAAAAGATACTTCAGTTTTCTGTAGTCCAAAGACAAACTATTAGAGTTCATCAATATATATGAGATCTGATTCTTCTCATTTATACCAGTGTTAGTATTCAATCAACAAAGTGATCAGTGCTGATGGATCTATATGTCTATCACCAGAAATCCACACTTCATTAGATCCTTTCAGTTAAATCACTGAGAAGAGAGTGAGATCCCTGGATTTTAAACATATGATGCTAAACAAAGGATTGCTCCTTCCTGCTAGTTCATTTCTTATTTGTGTCAATAAGGAAGACAAACCTCTGATCTTGCAATCAAATTCACTAGTACAGACCTTTGTCCCTGAAAGGAGCCCCAAAGGATCAGAGCCATAACACTAAATTTGTGGTATTACCTTCCTTCCTTTGCAAAAGTCTGATTTCACACACGTAGGCTGTGTCTACACTGTACCCCTTTTCTGGAAAAGGGATACAGATGAGACAAGTCGGAATTGCAAATGAAGCGGGGGATTTAAATATCCCCCGCTTCATTTGTATAAACATGGCTGCCGCTTTTTTCCGGCTCGGGGCTTTGATTTTATACTCTTAAAAGCAGGAATAAGGGACCTTTTGGAAAAGGCTTTATTTTCCGAAAGATCCCCATCTAGACTGGCGCTTTTTTCCGGCAAAGCCCCGAGCCGGAAAAAAGCGGCAGCCATGTTTATACAAATGAAGCGGGGGATATTTAAATCCCCCGCTTCATTTGCAATTCCGACTTGTCTCATCTGCATCCTTTTTCCGGAAAAGGGGTGCAGTGTAGACACAGCCGTAGATTGTAACATCAGTGCTGGATAAATCAGAAATAATAGATAGGAGGGAGGGACAGAGCTCTTATTTAGGGAAACTCATGTCAGAAGTAATAACTGGTGACAAATTGCATTGGACTGGAACAGCTGATGTGAGCGATAACTCCGCTTGCATCCCATGGCAGAGCCACTACACATCCCCCAAGGGAATGGTATAGGGGAATCTTTCACAGTTTCCATTTCCCTGTGTGGATATTTCCTGCCTAGAGGACTAAACAGCCTATTAGAAATGTTTTCCTCAAGAATGTGTCATTGTAAAAACCTGTCTTCAGAGAAGATCTAAAACTCTGTTTTCTCAGAATGCTGTAAAGCACATTGATAAAACCAGTCACAGGGAGATTGAAGAAAATGAATGGCTGAAAGAAGAGGTAAGAGGAGTACTAGTTTTTTTATCCAGTTATAAGTTTTGAATTTAATGGTGGTCTGTAGTCATCACTATGCTTCTTATCATAGGCCTCTAAGGACTGCAGAGAGAAAGGTGACCAGGATGTTATTTTAAGTAGATCACAGTTGTGTTGGAAAAACTACTTCTCAGTTTGTGACATCAAGATACATGTCCTGTCACAATTGCAATGACAAGCCAAAACTTTGTCTCTGCTAGTTACAACACTACTCTACTCGATCGGCTGTTTAATAAGTAGAAATGTACAAGATTATCCATTATGCAATTTTACGGCTCAGTCTTTCAGGGTATGTCTACACTACAATGTTAGTTCGAACTAACGGACGTTAGGTCGGACTAACATTCATAGCCGCTACACTAGCGCTCCGTTAGTTCAAATTTGAATCGAACTAGTGGAGCGCTTAGTTCGAACTAGGAAAACCTCATTTTACGAGGATTAAGCCTAGTTCGAACTTACTAGTTCGAATTAAGGGGTGTGTAGCCCCTTAATTCGAACTAGTGGGAGGCTAGCCCTCCCCAGGTTTCCCTGGTGGCCACTCTGGCCAACACCAGGGAAACTCTTCTGCCCCCCTCTCGGCCCCGGACCCCTTAAAGGGGCACGGGCTGGCTACGGTGCCCGTGCCAGGTGCAAGCCTGCCAGCACCCAGCTAGCAGACCCTGCACCTGGCACGGCACAGAGCCACCCACCCGATGCCCCCCAG